GGAAACCTGACTGAACCTTCTGGTAGTTCCAGCCCCTGCCCTGACACCTGGTATGTTGTGGTGTTCAGTAACTTCTTTAATTTTACATTCAGCCTTGCTTGCCTTATTCAGTCACCTTTTAACTCTTATTTAGTACTTCTGATTTCAAAGAGGCTGAGGTCATGCAGTCATGCTTTTTCATTTCTCTAAACTCCACAAAACTTGTCTATGATTTACAAATTACTATGAGTGGTCATCTACTTGTCTTTGTTCCTCTAAGACCTTACTCATATGGTTATCCTCTTTCTCTACATTTCATTGCTTGCTTTGTCTGCACTTGTTCATTCCCTTGATCTACAATGATCTTTAGTTCTCTCTTATCTCAGTACCATCCCAGCAATTTGTGCTCCCAGGAGTCACACCGTAATTCACTCTTTAACTGACTCCCCAGCTTTTTGAAAGTCTCCATGTTCGTGGCTTCTTCTCCCTAACCTCCCAGCCCACTGCTTCTGCACTGGATGTCTCCCAATCTCTTGCATGGACAATCCACCCTAGCTTCATAATTGATCTCCAACTTCTCTTCAGTCATTTACAAAATATATTTTTTTACAGCATCTTTAGAAAATTTTTAAGAAAATAGATACAGTGGGGGGCGCCTGGGTGGCTCAGATGGTTGGGCGTCTGCCTTCGGCTCGGGTCATGATCCCAGGGTTCTGGGATCGAGTCCCGCATCGGGCTCCCTGCTAGGCGGGGAGCCTGCTTCTCCCTCTGCCTCTGCCTCTCTCTCTCTGACCTTCATGAATAAATAAAAAACAAAAAAACAAAAAAACAAAAAAGAAAATAGATACAGTGGTAACAAGTGCCTAAAAACATTTCTCTGGTAATACTGGAGGTATTTCACATCATATTCAAGGCCATTCTAATTTTGCACAGCAGATATCTGTGGCCCCAATTCTTGCTGCTCGTTAAGTGTCACTCACACTCTTCCTTGAGAACACCATGGATATTCACATATCTGTGACTCCGCATTTTGCCTCTAAGAATGCCCTGCTAACATTTTCTGTGGGGGTACATGATAAATTCCTATGTGTTCTTTTAGGTCAAGTTCAAATTTGAACACAACTGTGAAAATATTCTGCAAATATCACAGAAACACAATTCTTTATATAGTTTATGCAAGATTTCTTTTTATATTTAATAAAAACAATATATAAGAATGAATATGAAGATAGATGCTGACATGTAACTGCAGTTTATTTAACAAATAAATATTGAGTACCTAATATATGCTGGGAACTCTTTTACACACATAGAATAGACCATGAACAACAACAGCAAAAATCTCAGACTTCATGGCAATTGTACTCTAACTGGAAGGAGACATAACCAACAAGATAATTAAGTAATAGGTGGTTGGTTTGATTGTGATACACACTAAGAGAAACTTAATTTGGAGAAAGGAGATAAGTTTTGGTAGGGAGGGGCTTTCAATATTAGGAAGTGAGGCCAGGTAATGCCTTCCTGAGCAGAAGAGTGAAACTTGAAGAAAATAAAAAGTCAACTATACTGATAGCTGGGAAAAGAGCACTCCAGTTCAGGCCATGGGATGGGAGCACACCTGGTACTCTTAAAAAATACAGCAAATAGGACAGTGTGGTTGGAGTTGAGGAAATTTGGTGGAACTGAGATCATAGAAGCAAAATGGCCAAGTAACACAGAATTTGGAGGCATTCTAAGGACATCAAAAGACTTCTACTCCATCATTCAGCTTCTGGCCAAGTTTGTATATCAGGGACTAGATTCATCCTCTTGTTTTAAATAGCTGAAAAAAGAACAAAATATATGACACAACAATTTTAAGACATTATACAACAGGAAAGTA